TTGGGCTTAGGCGGTAGTCCCTCCTTTCGCGCGCTCCTAGCCCCCAGGATTTCGCGCGGCCATTTTTTTCGCTCGAATTTCTTTCGCGTCACGCACGACGGACTAAGCGAAAGAGGGACTACTCGTAGTCTAGGGTGCTGGTGACTATGTTACCATTGGTACAACTTGGGTTTTTCCTCTTTTTTCTGTACATAGTGGATATTACAGGGCAGTGTGAGGTGATGAATTTTATTTTTGAGTGGTAGAAACACTATATCACAAACTAGTGCAGCAAGCACAGGGCTTGGAAAAACTCCATCCCATCGTCCAGGACAAGTAGATTCTCCTTCTGGGCAAGTAACTTTTCATTCTCACTTGCTTGGTGGGCAAGGAATCAGGCAAGCTGTCTGCCAACTATATCATTAAAAGGGCAAACTAAGACTTACCCAGGGCAAGCAAAATTTGAGAGCTACTTGTCCCAAGGGCAAGCTGGAATTCAAGTTTTTTCCAAGCCCTGAAGTGAGTAGAATATTGTTTTTGACAAGAGAGAGTAATATTCATATCTTGAAGCCACCTTGTAATTTTCTTTTTATTATATACATGTAGACCAACTGACTGTTCACACAAACAACCACGAAAAAGCAGGAAATGACGTCATCAATAATCCTCACTGGCGAGGATATAAAAAGTATACCACTCATGTCCTAAATGAAGGGGTGGGTGGAAAAAAGCTGTAAGTGACTCTTGATCTCATGTCGAATTCTCCTTTTTCACAGAAGGAAGTGAAAAGCAATTTGCAAGGAGAATCTTGCAGTCTATCTGATGTCATTTAGGGTCTTTTTCCACGCACCCCTTCAAAAAAAAATGTAGTTTTGTACATGTTTTATGAGTGTCCATGTATCTTCCAGCAAAACGCTTGCATTGTTATAATGTACACCAAACACCAGAACAAAGGAAAAACCAAATTGCACCATGATCTAACCACACATTCCAACATGTACCTCTACTTTCTCAGTTTAGTGAAGCTAAATTGAAAGTGTTCTGTTGCTATTCAAGTAGTATGTGTAAGATACTGGTTATACCTCAAAAAAATGGTTATAGTTATATTTCAATATTATAATTTTACATGTATAATTCATTTTTGCCACAACACTTCTGCTACATTACATTATTATGTACATGTACTAATTGTTTGCATGAAATATAAGAATGATCCATGTTCCAAATGAAAAAACCCTCAATAAATTACAGTTTGAATGTCTCTTAAAAAGTAAAACTCAAATTACATTTTCCTGCTCTTTAACTCTTGCCAATCTATCAATCACTCAGCTAGCTCTCCATGACCTTTTCCCCCATACTTTCATACTAAGGCCAGCACCAAATACAGTATACTGGTTTGAAAACCATAGATTACAGTCATAGTAAAGCATGGCTAGTTGGGTAGAATTTGCCTTGTCATTTATTAAAGTTTATAATATGATTTAAGGTAACAGAAAGCTTATGTCTTTGCATTGTATATGCATACATCTGCATATTGAGAAAAACTATACCCGAGGTCTTGGGCATTGCTTGAGGCAGCAGATGATCTTTCAAGCTGCTGCACACTACAGCAAACCTGCACAAACAGTGGTGTGCTTGAGCTGCATGGATCTATTCCAAGTCAGCTGTGAGGGGGATAGAAGATCTAACCTAAGAAACACAGATTTCATATTGCCTTGTTACAATACAGTCACTAATGGGAAACACTCTATCAGGTACTTAGGGCCATCAATATGGACGAAACTAACTGAACAGGAAAGGACCATCAAATCTTTGTCAGCTTTTAGAACTATGATATGCAAAAAAGAATATATGTCAGCTGTGTTAGTGGGACGTGGGAGGGATTGTAAATTATGCTCAACTTAGTTGTATACGGAATATATTGTAAATAATTAAGTATCTCAGGTAGTTTTAAGAAAAATGCTGTAAGTTAAGAGTTTTTAAGACTAGTTTTTAATTTTTAATTTTTAAATAATTGTTAGTATTATTGTGTTTTATCTGTGTCCCCAATTAGTGCCGTTGGCACTAGAATGACCAGACACTTTAATAAAGGATATACATGTACATGTATGTATGTAAATGTACGTCCATATGCATTATTTATGTAAAGATGATGTTTCCACTTGAACCAAATTGGAGCACACTGCTATTTAAGCTTGTCTGAATTTCAAAAGTAGTGGAAACTCCAAGTAAATGACACTTAACAATGTTTAACCCCTCATTCTGTTTATAATCTATCTAACAATAATTCTCTGACTCTTCAGTCCCCCAGTTCAATCAATGTTATGCAGGTGCTGTGGTCTGTGCAGTCTTAGAGAAAGAAAAACAAACATTGCCTTGGGGAAGGAGATTTTTCCAAGATGCTACAAAATACAAGAAGA